CTTTAAAAATGTGGTTCCCCCAAGGGTCCCCAAGAAAAAAAAAAAAAAAAAAAAAAAAACCATAAACTCTACAGAGGACTTAAACCCAGGCTCTCCCAAACGCATGTAAAAAAATAAAGTAAAAAATATAAAAAAGGAAGAAGCTGTAATTAGTTAATGATACACAGAGGAATCCTGATTAAGTCTGGTAATCACTTTCTGGAAGATGAAAAAGAACTGCATGAATCCAAAATGTGCATTTAAAAATTCACTGGATCCTCTTACTCGTTGGAGTGATGAGGACCAAGGAAGCGATGCTCCATCATAGTCCTTGTGAAGAGCGTTTGGCACCATCAGTTGAGTTAATCCTCTGACTGTTGATTAAAGGAATTGTTTAGGCAATGTCCTCTTTTGAAAATACTTCCTTTATAAATCCTAAAGTCAGGGTCCAATTTGGGCAGTAATTTCAATTATTGATGCACAATCCATCGTGGGAGGTGGAAAGAATGTCCTATCGTAACCAAATTACACTACACTGATCATTTTTTCAAGAGGAGAATATTCTCGAAGTCTTGCTGTCTACAATGTCCCCTATATTTATTTTTGATAGCATTACACTTTTAACTTTATTTTATTTACTTATTTCATGAGAAAGTGAAACAGGTGGCCTCTGAAGGTCTCGCTACACCATAATCCTTCTCCCAACCCCCACCCCCAGCCCACAAGGACCACAGACTCAAGTGAATTCAGATGTTCAGATGGATCAGAGATCCAAGCCCAGGCTTCCCACACAGCTCTGTATCATGTAGCAGTGCCCTACCACCAGTGCCACCACAGCTACAGTGATAGCATTATATTTCTAAGAAATGCTATTGTTTTACTCCTAAAATCAGTTGAATATGGCCAAATAGTTCATCAAAACATATAGTGAGGATTCAGAGATTACTACTTTGCATAGCAAGTTTTTGTCGTACAGTAAATCCTAGATCTCACCATAGCTTCCAAGTACGTCTTTCTCTCTCTTCTCTTTCCTATCTGGCCATTTTCACAGCTAGGATTTAACCTTCATAAGGGGCTGGGACCATGTCTGTCTTGGTCATAGCTGGTATATAATAAATAATCAATAAATATTTGATAAATGTACTAATGAGAAAACGCAATATGTATAAGAGTCTCTTATACGTGTTAATTGTTTTAGAGAAAATATATTTAATTGACATTAGTATTTTTGAAGATTATTTTAAGTGAAGTTCAAACATCAGGATTTTTTCTTCTTTTCTTTTCAACATATATTTATTTATTTATCGCTTGTGATTTGGGGGGGGCGGGGCCATCGGAGGGCCTAAGACGTTGGGGGGGGGGGGGGCGCACCAGGTCCAGAACTTGAACTACAATCAGCCATGTGATGTGGGAGTCCAGTGGCTCAACCACCACTGTGCCTGATAGCCCCAAACATCAGGATTCTTTTTTCTTACATCCTCCACCACCCTGCAGTTAGCCCTGTTCACCTCTCATTTCAAGATATGCATTTCCCATTCTTTTTACTTTAATTTCCATATAATAGCCCATGGCAAAATGCTTCCCTTCTCTCCGCAGAACATACCTCAACTTTAGACCACAAGAGGAATCAATAAATAATTCACTTCCTCAAGGATTTTGCTTATTAGAGTTCTCCCTCAGTGACTCAACTTAGTCAAAATAACTTTCTCCATAAGGTGAATGCTAATTCTGTTCAAGACCAGTTTTCCAAAAGATAATTGAGAAAAGTCACTGAAAAGCAGGTAAGGAGTAGGGAAGGAGCAGAGAGAAGGGAAAAACTATCATTTGAAAATGCCATTTGTTCTATTCTCTTATTTTTATCTATCTGGAAACTTCATCAAATACCTTGATCATAGAATCACAGAATTTGAGAAATAAAGGAGACCCATTAACGATTCTTCATTCCATTTTTTTCATTCTGCTCTGGAACTCCTCTGCTGAGCTGGCTGACTTGCTGAATTTGAAATCAAGACCATTTTGCTGTATATAATTCTGTGTTGCTTCTAACTGATGTTTTGAAGATGTCATTATTCACCTAATAGCAAAAGGAGATATGTATTTATAGGACCTGGAAAAATGATCAACTCTACCCAGTTTATTCCTTCATTCTCAAGGCTAAATTTAGGGGGTTTTCTTGGATTTTTTAGTTTAAATTAAAAAAAAAAAAAACCAGAGCATTTTGGTTATGGTTTTACTATGCTTCTGATTGTTTTTATTATACTTAGCTATGTTGAAGTTTATGCTCTCTTTTAGAGTATAAGATCTTCAAAAATAATAATATAACCATAAAAACAACAATAACTTACCCCATGGCCATCATTGTTCAAAGTACTCTATACACATTACCCCACCAAATCCTTTTAATAACCCCATATAGGTAGATATTATTATTACTCCCAACTAAGAGATAAGAAAACTGAAGTACAGAGAAAATAAGGAACTTGTGCATGATAATGGAGCTGGCAGGCATCAGAGCTAAGATTCAAACCGAGGTCACAGTTAAGATTTAAACTTACTTTCAAAGCTGTGCTTGGGAAGTGTCTACATGTTGTTTAAAATGATGGCATAATGATAGGTATGCATGTGTGTGTCTGTGTATTGGGGAATAAAAGAGAGAAAATGGAAGAAAACAAGAAAGAGCTATCTACCCAGGAAGGAGAAGTTAGTTATTCAGAGTATTAATTTGCTACTATATATTGGCTATGAGAAAAGTATCATTTTTAGGTGCAGCATTTCTATCAAACGTTGGTTAATTTCTGGCATATAATTATATATACTTATATAGTATTTTACTTGAGCTAATAAAATTCATATAGCTAGATATGTATTAGGTTGTTGGATGAGTCGTGACGTATTTTTTTATGTTTTTCTACACAAAAATGTGTCATGACCTTTCCAAGAACTCAATATGTTTAGGTATTTTCTGTGTGTATGTGTCTGTCTGTGTGTGTGTGTGTGTGTGTGTTGTTATGACAATGAGGGCACCATGTGAAAGCAAAGTGTTTCATTCAGTTTACTCAGGTCATCTCTTTATCTGTTTATACGTTAAATAGGAAGCTGCTATTGATACTATCAATGATATTAATAAAATCCCCACCACAAAACTAAGTCTCAAAAAAATCACTGTTTATAAAGCCAAGTTGCCATGCTTCCCCTTAGCTCTAAATAACCAAGATAGCATTTACCTAGTTTAATTTATTTAACTATGTTATGAATTCTGTAGCCAGTCTCGTTCATCCCCTGACCATCACTAGAGCTTATCAAAAGTGCTCTAATTCGGCGCGGGGCGCCCGGCAGAAGCCGCGCGGGGCGCGGGAGCTCATGCCCCCGGAGCGGCGGCGCCCGCCAACGAAAGAAGGCCC